ACTTACCTGGGCATAACCCCGGCACAGGTGCTGTAACAAAGATGCCGACGGCGTCTATGCTTAAGCCGGGGATTAGGTCGGTGATTAAAAGGAAAGAAAGGGATTCTTTCCAGGTAGCCTTAATAAAGGCAGGCAGAATTTGCTCCTTGCACTACACTTTCACAAAACACGTGTGCTCTGGTCGGCTGCCCGCTAGGAACTGTCTCTCTTAGTAGGTACCTAATTAGTTGCATATGAAAATAGATATGTATGAAAATTTCTTAAATAATACTGATTATATGATGAAAAATAAAAGAACTAAAAGAAAACTTTATCAATACTATCAAGAACTGCAGAGGAGGCTTAGCCTCCCAAGCCTCCTCTAACGAGCCGCCACTGCTCCATAGAGCTTGTATATAGCAGCCCTGGGTCCACCCCAAGCAAAAATCCTAGCTACGTCCATGGTTGAGACGTATTAGATTATTAAGACTAAATTTATCAGGAACCCGTGAATAAAAGGCGCGTCAACTTCACAGAAATAATAACATTTAGGCACAGCTTAAGAATATACAGCTCAAAGAGTCCGTGTCGGCGCCTTTGATGTGGCGGTCAAGAACCAAGCAAGACGGAATCGTGCTAACTCTCTCAGATTAGCGGAATAGTCAGGGCTGGATTAAAAGGATTTTTATTATAGAAATAAATTATTTAGTTTCTACTTGACAGTACTGTAGTAGGGAATTTTAATAATATGAAATTTGAAATACAATATTACGTGGTATGACATTAAAAGTAGAAAATGGGTATTTTAGATAGGAAATAGGTTTTGTACTTGGAGTTAATACTGATTATTAAAAGAAAACTTGAAGAGTAATTAAAATTCCTTGTTGCAAACTAGTGTTTGTTGACGTAATCCTTAGAGAGTGGAAACAAAAATAAAGATGATTATCAGCAAGGTCAAATTGACCAAAGAGGTCTTAAAAGGGCGCTGTTTGTGGTATTTATAGAACCAGTGATTTTAATTAAATCAATATATTACAGCAATAAAGGAATAAAACAGTATCCATCTAATACCAAAATAAATGGTGAAAATGGTGTGAAATAAAATTGCGTAGTTTTTAATAAGTTGTATTGCCTAATGTAAATGATGAACAACCAACACCAACAAAACAAAAATACCTAAACTTATACACACCTACAATATAATATACAAAAAAATATAATAACATAATATGGTATTAAAAATATAATCAGTACAGATTTCTCCATATTATAAGTTTATTTTTTTGAATATTCCTAAAATTTTGGTTTATAGTTTACGTATAATAAATGCTAACCCTTAAATATAACCTAAGTACAAATTCTTTTGGAAAAGAATGACACGGATGACTAAAATGTAGTCTATTAATTAATTCAAGAAGTGAGCTACAAATATTATTTTTTGTGGATAATTGTTCAAAATTATCTTGAAATATCTTTTCAGTGTTACAAATGAGCTCAACAATAAAGTTATCGTTTGGCATTTGCAATTGTCCAAATAAAGTATCTTCATTTTCATTATTATATAAAACAAAAATAAATCAACGGAATCATACCCACGCCTATGATTGCAATACTTACTACCCGTTGCCGTTACTCGCCTGAACGAATGCCACAGCCGCCTTTTCCGCTGGAAGGCGGGGCATAAACGCTGCGCGACGAAATCGACGCAAACCGTTCCCGCCAAGACAGTTGGGGAGCTGTATAAGCTGATTTAGGTCTGTGTTCAGCGAATGGTCGGACTAGTACGGTCAAACTTCTTTAGTCAAACAATTCGCTGAACGGGGTTGTATTAACTGTATTAAAACCTGTCTAATATTCTCAATCAGCTGATTGAGGTGACCAAGAAAATATTTGTTCGCTGAACGACTTTGACCGATCCGACCTTCGAGCATATACCTACTAGAGGCAGCCTTTATTGCTAAATGAGCAAACAGACGTACGAGAGAGAAAGCAAATAAAACTACTATCTATCTCTCTCACTCCGTAATGTGAGGTGCTGGAGGGGAATCACGGGGTCTGATTCTCAACCAATAAAATTTACTGAGTGAGAGAGATAGCTTGTAGTTTTATTTGCTTTCTCTCTCGCACTCTTGTTCACTCATTTAGCATTGAAGGCTGCCTCTAGTAGGTATGTGCTCGAAGGGTCCGACCATTCGCTGAACACAGCTTAGAATATGCAGGATAGTGGTGTGTTATATCATGTAACAAATTGTTCCAAAGGATCGTTACCAAAGTGAGAGTGGAATAATTCAATTTCTACGGTGTTAGGTTTACGAGCCGCGATTGTTTCATGCGAACGACTTGCGTGGAACACAGAATAGATATAGAACAGAAGAAATAATTGTACTTTCGCGCCAAGCCAATTTCAGAATTCGTTCATACTATTTTATTTTTATTATTTTACACTGGTGCTGTCTTCCTGGACGTCGCAAAGGCCTTCGATACGGTTTGGCATGAAGGCCTACTGATGAAAATGCTCAACAACCAATATCCCATATCCTTTACCAAACTCATAAAATCCTACCTACACCACCGAAAATTCCGCATCCAAATCCAAGATTCCCTTTCCACCACCCGTCCCATGGAGGCCGGTGTCCCCCAGGGCACCGTCCTGTCCCCACACCTATACACCATTTACAACTCCGACATCCCACATCCCCCCAACACCAACATATACGACGACCTGACAATCACATCCCAATCCGTAGATCCTAGATATTCCGTCTATCTCCTCCAAAGCTCCTTAGACCAACTTGAAACCTGGTGCAACAGATGGAAAGTAAAAATTAATCCCAACAAAAGTTCGGCTAGCCGTTTTACCAAACGAAAAATTCCACAAAACCTCGACAGACTGATACTATCCCAGGAACCCATCTCCTGGAATAGACAAACACGATACAGCCGCCGCCGCCGCCATTATTCATGTCTAGAAATTGGCCTCAATGATTTGGGATCGAGGGGGATTATCCCTCTTTATCCTGCCTCATCTCGTGTAGGCCTGGACAGCCTTCGTAGGTGGGCCCCATCCGTCGTCTACCCCGACCGCAAATGCGGCCGGTGTAGGCGCTTTGTGGGACCTCCTTTTGTCCTGGCTGGGCCCCGCCGGCTAGGGCCCTTTCTTCTGGCGCTCTTCTTGCTTCGCCGGCTCGTCTGTGTAAACCCCGGGGGTAGTGTCATGTTTATGTGTGGTATGGTTGGGTAGGGTAGTGCGGCTATGCAGCCTGGGATGCGCTTTGCTAAGGTGGCCCTTAGGCTAGCGCGGGAGGGGAGGG